GCGGCTGCATGGGGGATCCGGGCGCGCGGCGGCACCATGCCCGGCAAGTCCAAGTACAACCTGGTGGACGACAGGCACGACCTGCGCATCCCGCTGCACAACGAGGACGCCTTCCAGCACGGCATCGCCTTCGAGGCCAAGGTGGGCGGCGGGCCCGTGTCCCGGGGAGCCTGGCCGGCCCCCCGGGCGTGGGCGCCTTGGCATGGGCACGGCCCCGCGGAGAGGCTGCCCCGGCCCGGTGCCCGGGAGCTGTAGGGAGGACTTGGGGAAGCGCTCCTGGTCCCTGCTCCTGGGCGAGCCGGGCTGCCTCACGGTCCAGGGCAGCCCCTTCCCGGCAGGAGGGTGCCCTGGGGCTTCCTGCCCCTCCGGCTCCTTGGGAAGCGCCAGGCCCAGGGGGAAACCCGCCCCCGCAGCCCCGCGTGTCCGGTGCCGTCCGGGCCACAGGCTAACTTCAGCTGACCGACCGATGGCGGGGAGTAGCCGAGCCTTTGGATGCGCCTGGTTGCTGGCTGGCGCTGGAGGGAGGCTGCGGTGGGTGGGTGGCACGCGCTAGCCAGTGCTTTCCCAGCCGGGGTAGCTCCTGTGGGGATTCGGGTTGTGTTGCTGGCTGAGAAGTGCCCCAGCTGTGAAAGCCTGCCAGAAATGAGTGACTCTGCTTTGGGACCGTCAGGAGTGTTTAGGGTAAAATGGGATCTGGTCTGCTCTTGAAATGCCTCCTGCATCCCAGCTCCTGCTCCTTTGCTGAAAGCGGGTTCCCTTCCCCTAGCTCACGCCTGAGGGTAACTTTCTCTTAAGACATGGTTTACATGTTCTTTTCTTCTGTCTTGTTCTAGTCACCCGAGTAGTTGATGCTGTTGTGACTTATTTTCATTTCTTTTATTGGCCTTAGTCCTTGTATCCAGCCACTGAAATGGATTCATAGTCCCCTCTCTCCTGTTTGTCTGTCAGCTCAGCCCTCTACTGAAATACATGCAAAGCAGCAGCTGAATTGGACAGTAGCCACTGAAAAGCAGCTTTGGTACTTCAGTGTGGACCCGTTCATTCATTTAGTTTTGCAGTGACCAGCAGCTTGACCTGATTTCTTCAGAGAAGCACAAACTTCTCCCTGCTATCTCACATGTTGTTGCGTGCAAGACCCAAGCTGTAGTGTACCAGACCAGCCTGTTTCCAAAAACACATCAATTGTTTTGTGTAGAGCTGGAAGATTATCATTTCAGTTATAGTTCTTGCCTCATTTTGGCCCTTTGCAGCATTGAATTCCAGGGGCTGACTGTTTTATTACTTCCTTTGCTGCCCCGTACTTACAAATTCTGCTGTCCTCTTTGTCATGTTATGGGAGAGTGAATAAGGAGGTTTTAAATACCCTGTGGTTACATAGTGCTTTTTAATCTCCCAAAGTACCAGATAAAATGTATGCATGTAGGAAGCTTACTCTTTCCACCTTGGGGCTGCTACATGAAATAAAGCATACACCATCTGTTGAGAGTAGCAAGGTGACTTTTAGAGAAAGCAGATAGTAATTGGCAGTCTGTAATTCTTCCAGAATGTCAGGAGGGAAAAGGGTAAAGTAACCCTTCACATGTGACCCAGGTCTGCGCTGTCTCATGCAAGCAATATGACTAAGATCAGGACAGTTCCCCAAGCATGCTGTGCTAAGGGCATTTGTTCCATCGTGATTCAGAGTGCCTCCTAAAGCATCTAAGCCCCCTTCACCACCCATCAGATAATTCAGCCAAGTGCTTGCAGATCAGTTTAGCTTGAGAGCTGGCAACAGTGCAGCACTTCATAATGCCGAACATCTTCACTAATGCTTCTTCTTTCCATGCTGAGCAGGTCTGTAGGAGTTCTTAACACAAACCTGCCCATGTCTCTCACAAACTTCATTACTGTATTTTGGATCCATTAAATCTCAGCTATGGCTTGTTTAGGCAAGGAATCTAAACTGGAGCCCGCTCTCCTAATGAGGACATACAGTGGCTAAGCAGCAGTGGTGTCACCACAACTTTTTATTCCTTTTGCATTTTGCAGGTGTTGCTTCATGCTCTTGGCTTTCTAAATTGTGTCTGTGCACAGCATATGTTCTCACTGATAATAAAAGGCCAGGTCCTGTGAGGTCTCCATGTACAGAGCTCCTACTGAGTTTTGGATCAAGCCCTGAGTCCTTCCTAAAAGATTATTCAAATATGAAGCCCTGCATTGTGTAGGGGGGATTTAGACTATCTTGGCAAGTGAGACATACCCTAAACCCATCTGCTGTCTTGCTCTTTCAAAATCCATGTGGATCTTCTGTAGCTTAGTGATATGTGTCAGTGATGCATGTCCGTTTCCTCCTCCTAATTGCTAATAATTGAGTACTAATGCTAGTTAATTGCTATATACTATCTGCTTTAGGCCCTTGTGTCTTACCTTGTGTTTGCACAGCACCATAAGACCTAGACGGAGGTTTACAAAGGCTCCATGTCCAATTTTCAAAGTGGGGATTAGATTCCAAAGTCACTTGGGCAAGTTTTTGAAAATTTTTGGTGGTAGTCCCTTTCCTAAAACACATAAATACAGTAGTTGATGACAAAGTGTAAGTGGATTTTTGTCTTTGTTATATGGTGGTAGATTCTGTGGCTTCAGAGACTGCCTGGTGAACAGCACTGAGTTGGATCCAGTTGGATTTCTCTGCCTTGCTAGCCCCTCTTTTATTTACTTATTTATTTTTTAAATACTTCATTATTTTTAATATCTGCCTTGTTCCTTTCCTTTTCTTTTCCCCTCTTCCTTGGTTTTTAAATCCTTATTCTTTCTTTCCAGTTTGTTTTTAAATATTAAAAAAAAAATTCCCTTGATATCAGCCCCCCATTACTTGCCCTTTCTGTTACAAAGTACAGTCTCTAATATTTTCTGAAGAGCGATTAAGTCCCTTTTATCACATAAAAAATTCACTGTAATCAGTATTGGTCTTATGAGCTCCTGCAACACTTGAAGGTGGCTGAGTTTAGACCTAGGTGCAGTAGTCCTGTGCTCTCAGGGGTCATGCGTTGTGATGTGTCTGGGGTCCTGATTTGCCTTAATCTGATCGTGTGAGAGTCCACACTGTTGCAACTCTCACTTTCCTGGGCAAAGCTGGGAGCTGTTAGAGACCATGCCTTGGAAGGGGCAGAGCATTGCAAGCATCTGTTGCTACTGGAATGAGGTGGCCCAGAAGGAGAGCTGGTGCCGTTTGTAGATCCCTCCCTGGGTAAGGTACAACTCTGGTTGTGGATGGGGGGCTTTACCCCAGAGATATTTCATAGATTTCATAGACATCAGGGCTGGAAGGGACCTCGGAAGATCATCGAGTCCAGCCCCCCGCCCAAAGGGCAGGAAGTCAGCTGGGGTCATAGGATCCCAGCAAGATAAGCATCCAGTTTCATCTTGAAGGTGTTCAATGAAGGCACTTGAACCACCTCCGGTGGCAGGCTGTTCCAGACCTTGGGGGCTCGGACAGTAAAGAAGTTCTTCCTTATGTCCAGCCTGAAACGATCTTGAAGTAGTTTGTGACCATTCGACCTCGTCATCCCTTGGGGCGCTCTGGTGAACAAACGTTCCCCCAGATGCTGGTGGTCACCCCTGATAAACTTGTAGGTGGCCATCAGATCACCCCTGAGCCTGCGCTTTTTCAGGCTAAAGAGCCCCAGGGCTCTCAGCCTGTCATCGTAGGGTCTGCTTCCCTGACCTCTGATCATGTGCGTGGCTCTTCTCTGGACTCTCTCAAGCTTCTCCACATCCTTTTTGAATTGTGGAGCCCAAAACTGGACACAGTACTCCAGCTGCGGCCTCACTAAGGCCGAGTACAGGGGGAGAATGACGTCCCGGGATTTGCTTGAGAAGCATCTATGGATGCAAGCCAGCGTTTTGGTCGCTTTACTAGCCGCCGCATCGCATTGCAGGCTCATGTTCATCTTGTGGTCAATGATGACCCCCAAGTCTCTTTCTTCCATAGTGCTAGCCAACATAGCACTGCTGAGCCTATAAGGATGCTGCGGGTTTTTTTTCCCAAGGTGGAGAACCTTGCATTTATCGGCGTTGAACACCATCAGATTCTCGTCCGCCCACTTGCTGAGCCTGTCCAGGTCAGCCTGGATAACCTGCCTGTCTTCTGGTGTGGATGCTTTGCCCCAAAGTTTGGTGTCATCGGCGAACTTGGCCAGTCCGCTTCTGACTCCAGTGTCCACATCATTAAGATAGGTGGTACAGCTGGATGAGTTGGGGGCAGCAGGTGCCTTTCTGGTTGGGACCCCTGTTACTATTGATCCTGAGAGCCCTGGGATCCTAGTCTTCACCCTTGCCTGCCCCCCTCCTCACCTTGCCCCCCGCTCCCTGCCTGGCTGTCACTGTCTTCTTTTCCCAAAGGTACAAGCATGTTATCTGAGGGGATTGTTGAGCTATGTGTGGCTTGTGGCTGTGTGTGGGAAGACCGGGATGCCTGACCCAACCAGAGAGACTTGGTTTTGTCTCTGCTAGTACAAAAACATTATTGTCAGGAAAATTGTGGGGGAAGAGACCCTCTCTGAGTTGAGTATTTTCTTTCAGGCTTTTGGCAGGCTCAAGTCAAGGCTTCTCACAGTTTTGGCACTGGTGACCCCTTCCCAGAGTAGGAAAAGTTTGCCAGTTCCGTTCCAGAGCCTGTGCCTCTTGCCTCAAGCAGGTGGCAATAATGGGACATCCATCATCATTAAGCTGGGAAGGGAAAAGTATAAAATATTGACCAGCCCCCTGCCCAGCATCAGGAACAGAACTGTCACACTAAAAATCGACATTCACATGTGAGGCTGCTTATGGAAACCTCCGTTGCTGGCTGCCAGGTACCTGCGACATCTCGCTTCCAGTTCAGTGAAAGCTGACTGGAAGCGGCGACAAGGATGAGGGAGGCTGTGGACCATTGAGATTTCTACAGTCAACACTGGGGGTGCTGCCTTCAGAGGCAACTCACTGCCTTGCAATGCATGGGTAGCAGGGCTTAGATGGGAGTGCATGTGTTTGTTTGCATGGACAGTTGGTTGCCCAAGGAGACATCTCTAAATGGAGTTGGCCCTCAAGCCCATTTAAAAGCCGCTTCGTGACTGTACTGCAGATCCTCGTCTGAATACAGCCTCCCTCCCCTTGCTCTGGTA